TGGTCAGTGCACCATCCATTGTAGACTGAAGCCAGCTTAGTTCTGTGCACCCGGTGCTTCTGAATGAAATAAATGGAAAGATTCTTGCTCACGGCTACCGTCCAACCTAGCCGATGGAATGAACTAAGTATGGAGGTGGGATTGGTTATGTTATATCTTACTCCTATTTCTGGAAAAGCAACTCTTGTCAATGCTAGTTATTCAAAATACAGTTTGGGGGCTGGGGATTTAGCTCAGTGGTTCTGCCGTCTGCCTCACAAATGCAAGGTCCCAAGTTAGATCCCCAGTACAAAACACAAAACAAAACAAAACACCCTCCCTGAAAAATACAGTTTGGGATTCAATATCAACGTTCAAAACTGTAGTCCTAGTATTTTACATGTATATGTGTATATAATTTTCATGAGATCAGTTCACAAAATGTTACACTTATAATGTTATATATGTATACATACTATATTCAATTCACTAATCTGATAAAATTGCAATAGAGCAAAGGGAAAAAAAAATTACTGAGGGGCCCCAAACACAAATCTCACCATCATAATCATGGCTGCCCTCTGTAAAGCAGTTAGTTAAGCCATGTCCTTGGTCACCTGGAACCTGATGTCTGAGTGTCTTCATCTCTGAAATAAGGCCTACAAAATTTCTTTTATAAATATATTAGAGCTGGGTGTGGTGCTGCATGCCTATAATCCCAGCACTGGGGAGGCTGAGGCAGGAGGATCACCATGCGTTTCAGGCCAGCCTGGGCTACGTAGTGAGTTCAAGGCCAGGCTAAACTATATAGTGAAACCTTGTCTCAAAAAAAAAAAAAAAATTTATCTATCTATCTATCTATTTATACACATACATACACACACATTAAAAGCATTTTGACATTTTTGCAAAGCAGAGATTTACTGTGATCAAGACCATCCCTGTTCCATTTCTGTAACAGCATGCAGTTCTTGATTATCCTTAGGCCTCATCAAGTCCCTTTAACCTTTCTGATTTTAAATGTGTGTCATTTAGGGGTAACACTTCCTCTCCCCTCTCCTTTGCAGAATGAAGTGAAGGGAAAATATGGATTTGCATAAAGGAAGAAGGAGAGGAGGAGTGGGAAAGAAGAGGTACCAGTTGCAAGCGGGAAAGCTCCGGTTTGCTGTCAGAAACACTGGATGCTACTTCTGCTTCATTTATGGACATGTGATTATGGGTGAACCACTTCGTCTCTCTGGGCTTTTTTCTTCACTTGCAAAGTTGTGGGGTGAGTGAGGGAGATTCATTAGAAGACTTCTAAGTGCGCTTCCATTTTATTACTCTGTATAAGTGATCCACAAGCCAAAACCTGCTGCCCCCTGTTTTTGTACACCTGTGAGGTTAAACACTTGGAAAAAAATTAAAAGAATAATTTTTCATTAGGGGAGAATTGCATATAAATTGAAACTTTCCTGTATGTTCTTGGGACGGAGCCAATAGTTGTTTGTTTATGTTTATACGTGGATGATTTTATTCCAAGACATTGCATGTTAAATAGCATTGAGACCGCAGGGCCCATGAAACCAAAAATATTTATTATCTGGCTCGTGACAGAAAAAGCTTGTCTACACTTGTTTTATATACAGTATATTTAGTATACCTGTTTATTTGGGATTGATACATCTTTTGTATATGAGATATATGCTTATCAAGTGCCTTTCAGAATGTTATCATAATGCATAATCCCATTAATTGTTCACTTTCCTAAGAGAAAGAACTGGGTCTGCTCACCACTGGACACGGCCCCCACCGGTGGGGGGGGCACAGCAGCGTGTCGAAATGTGTCACTGAATAAAACATCCTAACAAAGTGATAGGCCAGTTATTTTATTTGAAAGCCAGAGATTTGGGACCGCCAGAAGGAATTTCTTATTACCAACTATTATGTTAATTTCTAATTTTCCTTTACAATTACTTTTTAAAAAAAGCTTTTCTGCTCATCAAAATTCTCCCTGCACCCCCAGAAAAACTTACTTTAAATATGCAATGAAAATAAGTTTTGTGTTTCACAAAAACCTACCAGAATAATTTTTGTTACATAAAGTATTTATTAAATAATACCAGTAAAACTGAAATGGCCTCAGCCTTTTACATCCGTGCGCCACGTTTTAAAAATGACGATTGGCTTTCAAGGCATGGTTGTCTGAAACATTCTACGTAATTTAAACACAATGACAAAAACATACGATTGCAGATCAAAATGAGTGTGTAAGGAAAAAAAAAAGTAAGATGAGCGTAATTGCACGTTGTGTTTCAGATCTACTATAGCTGAGTCATTTCGGGACACGAGTGTGTTTCCAGGAAAAAAAAAAAAAAAGCCGAGAGGAAGGAACCAGGATGAGGGGCTCGCCTGGCTCCCCAAGGCACTCCCAGAAGCAGAAGCCGGTATTCCGCGGCGGTAGGCGGCGTGGTCAAAAAAGGCGCTGCGGCCCCTTTAAGAAACACAGCACCTTCTCCAAGATACCATCTTGCACCAGGAGTTCACTTAAACTCTCTACCTACCTTGCTAGATCCCTTCTCCCTAACTGGGTACTGCCGGCCGGCGGGGCGAGCGAGTCTTTTCATTGGCCTTGAGCGCACAGCCTTCTCTCATTTATTGGTTAAGACGCCCGCCACTCGGCGTTATCTCCCGCCTGCCTGGGCCTTCATGTAAGGTTGAGTGAGGGCTCTTGGGTTAGTTCCTGTTAGGCCCGGGCCGGGGGAGTAGGTGGAAGTCTCTTAAGATGCCCGGTGGGCTAGGGCACTGGGAGGTGTGAAGAGAGCGCAAGGAGGCGGCGAGGGAAGACCCACAGCAGGCCTGAAGAAGAGCGGCGACCGAGCCCGCCTTCCCTACACCATGCTCATAGAGGATGTGGATGCCCTCAAGTCCTGGCTGGCCAAGTTACTGGAGCCGATGTGAGTGGGCCAGGCCGGGCCGGGGCCGGCGAGCGTGAGCGTTGGGGGCCGCGG